CAGATCTGAGATTCAACAGTCTTGCACAATTCACAGCGCTTACCAGAGCACATACCCTCCCCAGTGTCTATCACCCAGTCACCCCATCCCTCCCACCCCAACCCCCACTCCAGCAACCCTCAGTTTGTTTCCTTAGATTAAGAATTCCTCATATCAGTGAGGTCATATGTCTTTCTCTGTTTGACTTATTTCGCTCAACATAATACCCTCCAGTTCCATCCACGTCGTTGCAAATGGCAAGATCTTATAATGAACTTTCAAATCAAGTGTATTAGGTGATATAATGACTTCAGTGCCTAATATTTTCAAAACATGTTTTTCTAGTTCCTAAATTTAAACATTTAAGAGTAGTAAATATGAGAATAGCAAAATTCCATCATTTCATTTTGTCAGTAATTCAGTTACATAATTGAAACTGAAAGTAGAGTTGTAACATATTTGTAAGATTGCACAGTTAATTTTTAGAAATTCCTTTTGTTTAAGCATAAATCTTTCCAAGTTCTCATACCAACCTAGTATCTCTGTTACCTTTATTTTTAACATATTCAAATCATGAAAACATAAAAAAAGAATAATGAAGCTAACATGGAATGATCTTTCAGATATATTACATGAAAAATGAAGTTGCAGCATAGAGCTTTGTGTACTACCACTTGTGTAAAACAAGGGGAAATTAATATTTATATGTGTTTGTAAATGAATAAAACATCTCTAGAAGGATACCAAGAAATGATAACATTAGTTATCTCCAGAGAGGAGAACTGGGATAATGGGGTGAGGATGAGAGTTTTTACTGCACACCTTTTAGTACCTTTTGAATTTTGAACCATGTGACGATTTTACCTATTTAAAAAATAAAATTATAAAGCAAATAAATAAAATATTAATGTATTCATATACATTCATCAAACATTCATATATTTATATATATTAAATCACAGAATTTTTATATGCCTAAACAGAACATGGGTATAATTCATTATGGGATGTATGTATGTCTGTGCAGTTTCCCTCCTACCAAGGCATGTCTAATCTACTCACATATCTGTCATTTGATAAAATCAAAGAGGGTGCAAAAAGCCAGCGTAACCCAGAAAGAAAAGGAAATACAGTAATAGTAAAACATGGCTGCTGTATTTCTAGACTTTTATGAGATCTCTCTGAAAACACACATTTTTAGACCAACAAGGTCAGTTCTGTTCGATAGAAGTTTTTCTTACACTCTTCACAGCAAGGCTTTTCTGAAATTATCATAAACATGGTTTCTCATAAACAGGGTTCATCTTAATCAAATAGTAATAGAAGTATAAGGGAGAGCTAAAGAAATCTTGAGTTATAAAAGTCCCCTAAAACGTTTCTCATTAGAAAATCTGCCATTAGGTAAAACACTTGTCATTCGAAGGAGGCGAACTGTAACAAAAATTTTTGGATGAGTGATTAAAATGAATGAACTTTAAGATTTTTCTCAATTCTGAGAGCATATGAATCTTAACTGCCAAAAAAGTTCCTTTCCCTACTAGCCATACTTTTTTCCAGGCATCTCAAATTGAGTGATAGATACAATGACAAAAATTTTAATCCGCTAGATTGAGCAGAATAAAATGGATCATTTTCAAACGACCAGTGGCTGATTATTCCTTTAAACTCTTTCCTAGGAAGAAATGTACTTACTTGACTTTCCATGTATTAACCCATTGGTGGCTCAGCTCATGTTAAACAAAGGACCTTCACTGCACTGGATATTATTAGCAACTCTGTGTCAACTTCAGGAGCTTTTACCTGAAGTTCCAGAAAAGGTGTTAAAGGTTAGTTTTTTGAACTCCATAGTCTTATATGAGTTTATTTCCTTCCCATTTGAGTACTGATTTTTACCATAACAGTTTTCAAAATGAAGGTATCCAAGTTAAATTGTTTTGGACTTTCTGTAGCAAAGAAATAATTTACTTGAACTAAATTTCACATAGAACTCTCATTGGATGTCAATCACATTATACATTTTAAAGCTATCTTGTATAGATAATTCAGTACAGTCAGCTTATCACACTTCAAATTATTTTGAAATGTTATTGTGCCCACAAGTATGTGATCACACACTCTATTCATATGTGCTTACAATCCTGATGCCCTTCCTTATAGTAATAAAGAAAACTTTAGCCTTATTGGTAAAAATTTTACATTTTTATCAAGCAGATGGTATTCATGTATAACTTGTGTAACTAAAAATTCTATTACAAGTGATTAGAAAATGGATTTTATAATAAGTTTTTCTTTTAATAGAGCCTAATTATGTTATGTTTCTTATGACATGGATCACTACAATACCCTACTTATTTATATCTTGCTTTCTTTACATATAGATAAGCATTGTTATTTATATTACTTGACTGATGTTTATATTGTGTTTGTATTATATTAATTAATTTTTAAAATTTTTTAGCATTTTTGTAGCATCACTTCCTTATTCAAGATTAGTTCTTCTTCCATAACAAATTCACCTCCAAGACCATTACCTCAGGAAAATGGGAATCAGACTAGTACCTTTACCTCCCAGAGTTCAGCTTCTGGCTCTTCAAACTCTGTCTTTCAAGAACATAATGAATATTACCACTATTCAGATATAGGAGAGACAGTGCACAGAGATACAAACAGCACTTCAAACTATAACTCTTCCCTTATGGAACTAAGAGAAATGCCATGCATTTTACCACCTGTGACTTCTTACAATCAGGCCAGCTACTGGAAGGACTCCAGTTGTAACCCTAACACAGTGCACAATCCTTTCCTGGTTAATACAGAATCAAGGAATGTGGCTGGTAACTCCTTTCGAAACCAAAATGATTCAGAGTCAGATGTCTTTTATTTGGATCTAACACAAATGAACTGTGAAAACATATCACCAATTGACACCCAGAAGAGAGTTGCCCCTAATTTTATAAATTACCAGAAAAAGGGAACACATGATGCAAAAGGACCTATAAATAAAGAAGTGTCTGCCCCTAGCTTTTCACTAGAAGGCTCCCAATCTTCTCTTCCCTGGAACTTTAAGAAAAATGTATGGGAACAACAGAATCACTCATTCAACTTAGAATATGGTGTACAGCAGACTACATGTGACAAATGGTACTCTCAGAAAGATAATTTATTCACTAATCAGCAAAAATGTCTATCAGATGAGTTAGAAGGCTTCATATGTGAAAGTTCAAATGCTGGGACTAAAAAGACTTTCTGGAAAGAATTACCATCTGTCTCCAGTTTGGATTTATTTTGTGCTTCTGATCCTAATGTAAATAAAAAAGAATTCAGCAGTCTTTATTTCCACCAAAGAGCTGGAAAATGTTTAGGACAGAAAAGGCACTCTGAATCCTCATCTAACTCAGGAGACAAGAAATCATTACCAGGTAACACTATCTAACGTTAATAAAACTACTCACAGGTATAATTTTTTAAAGTTTATTTATTCTTTTAGCAATCTCTACACCCAGTGTGGGGCTCAAACTCGCGACCCCAAGATCAAGAGTCACATGCCCTTCCAACATGAGCCAGCCAGACACCCCTTGCAGATGTAATTTTAAAAGATAGAACCATCTCTAAATTAAAAAAAAAAAAAGTTTGTTTTAATTACTGTACTTAAAGAATCTTCAATAACTTTGGAGTAAAAAAAAATCAAAATTCTAATTATAGACATCTAAGAAAATAAATGCAAACAAAATATGTCAAATTCTTGTAGCTTTAGATGAACTAAGCGTTCAACTTAAGAAGTTAAAAATAAAACCTCAGAACAAGTCTAAGTAAAGCTGAAGACTAAAATTAGCAAAGATTAAACAGAGAAATCAGTGAATTAGAAGAACTAGCTTCTTTGTTGGGCAGGAATATTTAATGGGCTAACATTTATTAAGAGCTTATTACAGGCCAGGTGCCCTTTTAGGCCCTTTATGTGGATTATTGAATTCTGACAATACTATTAAATAGATATTACTATTAGCTCTACTTTACAATTGATGTTTCTGAACATTTAATCATATCAGTTTTTAAAAGGACAATTTTATATTCTCTTTTCTGGTAATGATACCTCTTGTACCTTTATTTTCTACGTCATTTCTTATTACCTTGGCTTGAACATCTAGAACAAAACATTAAGTTCTAATGGCCATACAAATGAGCCTTACCATGATAGGGGAAAAAAATAATAAAAAGGGGAGAAGCTTAAGCTTCAAAGCTCCTTTTTTGCATAGGCCCTTTTGTGAGGCTTGAGAGGCTCCCAGAAAATCTTGTATTCTTTGTTTTGTTAAAAGAGAACCTCCCCAAATACCATATGACCTCACCCATATGTGGAATTTAAGAAACAAAACAAATGAACAAAGAAAAAGAGAGACAAACCAAGAAACATACCCTTAACTATAGAGAACAAACTGATGGTCACCAGAGAGGAGGTGGGTGGGGGATGGGTGAAATAGGGGACAGGGATTAAAGAGTGCACTTGCCATGACGAGCACTGAGTAATATATAGATTTGTTGAATCACTATATTGTACACCTGAAACTAATATAACACTGTATGTTAAGTATACTGGGATTAAATAATAATAAATAAAAATAAAAAATAAATAAAGAATAAAATAAAAGAGGACCTCCCAACTTGTACAGTTGACCCTTGAACAACACAGGTTTGAACTGCATGGGTCCACTTACACACAGAGTTTTTGATAAATACAATATGGTACTATAAATGTATTTTCTCTTATGATTTCTTAATAACATTTCTTTTTTCTAGCTTACTTCTTTGTAAGAATACAGTATATAGTACATATAACATACAAAATATGTGTTAATTGACTGTTTATGTTATCAGTAAGGCTTCCAGTCCACAGTAGGCTCTTAGTAGTTAAGTATTAGAGAAATCAAAAGTTATATATAGAATTTTGGGGTGCCTGGCTGGCTCACTCAGCATGTGACTCTTGATCTCAGGGTCATGAGTTTCAGCCCCATGTTGGATGCAGAGATTATGTTTAAAAAAAGTTATATATGGATTTTTGAGTAAGAGGAGAGAGTCGGCATCCCTAACACCCTCATTGTTCAAGGATCAACTGTATAAACCCCAGGACTCACAAAACTTGGATTTGGTCCTACTTAATAGTCATAATTTGTTTTGTTCCTGATCTTAATGGGAAGTATTCTATCCCTAGTTTTGTAAGAACATTTGTGAGGAATAGATGCCAAATTTTATACACATTTTTTTTGGCGCCTATTGGGGAAAATCAAACATGTTTTCTCCATTGATCCATTGATGTCAAGGATTATATTAACAGGTTTACTAATATTAAATCATTCTTATTATTCCATAATAAACTTAATTGGCTTTTGAAGAGTGATTCTTTTGGGGCGCCTGGGTGGCTCAGTCGGTTAAGCGGCTGCCTTCGGCTCAGGTCATGATCCCAGGGTCCTGGGATCGAGCCCCGCATCGGGCTCCCTGCTTGGTGGAGAGCCTGCTTCTCCCTCTCCCTCTGTCTGCCACTCTGCCTACTTACGCTATCTATCTCTGTTAAATAAAAAATTTAAAAAAAAAAGTGATTCTTTTAATTTGCTGTTGAATATGGTTACTAATATTTATTTATGATTTTCATATCTATATTCATAATGCAATTTATTGTGTTCTTTACTTGTGCTCTCTCACATTTTGACATGAAGTTTATTCCAGCTTCATAAATGAACTGAATTAAAAATTCCATTTTTTTTCCATCTTGAACCAAATCAAGCATGTGAATTACTATATGTTCTTGAACATAGGGCATCCCAATATATAAGATAATCTTCCGAGAAGATCTCAGAAATTATTTCTAATAACTTTTAATATTTAAGCTTTTGGGGGTAGGGATGGAATAGTCAAATGTCTATTTACATTTTAATTAATTAAGTATAAATATATTTTTAAATCATAGATTGGATAATGTTCATTTAGAAATATTGCTTTTTTCTGCTTTCAAACTTCTTCCATAAAATAATTTTATTCAAACAGTTCACATGAATCTTTGATACTAGTATCATTATCACTATGGAAACTTTTGACTTTTTTACTGTGCTTTCCCAAAGCACATCATTACCTTCATTGTTTAAGATGTAACACTTTTAGAATTCATATTAATGCAGGCCTAGACAATTTATCCAAAGCCACTGGCATAATCTCAAGATAATTTTCCATTTGTCCTATAGATGTGTATTTGTGATCTCTATAATAAAAATTACCTACTATACTGCTTTTTAAATTTGCTTATAATGGCATCCAACTCTTATAATTATGAGATTATATTCCCAGGAATAATTACTAAAACATTTTTAAATACTTTAGCCTCCTTTTTCACTGATTTAATTAATTAACCTCTGTAAGAATCCAAATCTAGGATATTTCAGGCTAATGTGTCATATATAATACAGTCATAGAAGGTGAGTCCATACATGATCACCACCTATCATATATCAGAGCTCAGGATAAATTCCACAACATTACAGATAGGAGGTAATGAGGGAAAACTTAAATGAAAGAGTCTTAAATCTAGGGAGATTTAATTATTTGTGCAAAGCATGACCATACAAATATGTGTACATGACACTGATTAGTATTGAGCCATTAGGTAGAGGTGCATTTATGCTAAAAATGTAATTTTTATAGTTATTTTATCTCAGGTTGTGAATTTTAACACTTTGTAGATAGATGAAGAGATAGGATGCACCAGAATAGCTGGAAAAAATAGCTATATTTTATTACTCTCAGAAATAAAATGGTTTTCCTTTTTCTTCTTTTAACAGATTTCATGTGCTCACAACTACCACAATTCAAGAAACGGCGTCTAGTGTATGAAAAAGTCCCTGGTAGAGTTGATGGACAAACTCGTCTGAGGTTTTTTTGAAAGAAAGGATAGTGTTCTGTGCCACATTCCTTTGTTTTTGATGAAAATCTAGTAACAAAATAATGTAGATTTGCTCATTCATTAAAGAAAATACATTGTTAGATGTTCTTGGTGCTTCCATATTAAATTTTCAAAATACATATTCTGCCCTATTGTTTGCATCTTTGTATGTAAAATATTCTAATTGGCATAATTGTCATAAGATCCAAATATCTTCCAGATTCACCTGAACATTGCAAGCCTTTTTTTTTTAAAGCAGTAGATACAATATATACATTTAGAGCAATAGCAGTATATATAGTATTGTGCGTGTGTATATGTATAAATATAAATGTATATATGTTATTTAGTTGTCTTCTGAAGGGCTTACTGCTTCCCATCTTTCCTCCAGCAAGCCTTTTAAAATGAGCCTCCATCTCAGTCTGACCCTTTAAGTCAAGAAGTGAAGATCACCAGAGTAAACCCTCCATCACCAAGAAAGTTAAAATCTAGGCAAAGTTCAAGTTAGAGAACTTCTCATTTTTTTTCCCTAAAGATTTTATTTATTTATTTGAGAGAGAGAGCGCACAAAGGGAGAGGGAGAGGGAGAAGCCAACTCCTCGCTGATCAGAGAGCTGGATGTGAGACTTGATCCCAGGATCCTGAGACCATGACCCGAGCCTTAGCCGACTGAGCCACCCAGGCACCAGAGAGAGAACTTCCCATTTAAAGTGTTGCCTTCAGGGATGCCTGACTGGCTCAGTCGGAGGACTGTGCAACTCTTGATCCCGGGGCCATTAGTTTGAGCCCCACACTGGGTGTAGAGATTACTTAAATAAATAAATAAATACTTAAAAAAAATAAAGTGTTGCCTTCATAAATAAAAATTTAAAACTAAGAAAATATTTGCAACCTACATAATAAAAAAAATTTACATTCCTAATATACAAAGAATCCTACAAATTGATAGGAAGACAACCTAATAGAAGAGTGGACAAAATATATGAATAGATATTAACTGAAGAAACAAAAACAGCCAATAAACATTTGAAATTATATGTAGCTTCATTACTCATCAGGCAAATGCAAAGGAAAACAGATCACCTATCAGATCTGCAAAATTTTTGAAAATTAGTAATATTCAGTGTCAGCATATTGGAGAAAGAACACTTTCCTATACTGTTGGTACAACATTTTTGGAGGATAGTTTGTATATTTTTTAATGGATGATTGTAGGTTTCTAATTACTCTGGTATTTATATTCCATTGAGTACATTTTTTTAAAGATGTAATAATTTTATTTTATAATGTCAGAATTCCTAATAAAGTTATATTCTTTGCAACTATTCGGTTATTAACAAAACTTTTATATGTCATCTCAAATGGAGGTAATGGGTTTTTGACATTATTATAGGTGGTACACCAGCAAAAATGTTTGAAGACCACAGGCATACTCTTTCCTGGCTTCTGAAATTATCACCCTATTACTACCAAAATTGACTTCTACCTTCTTAGATCCAGGAGACATGCAGACATCACCTTACTTGACCTCTCTTCAACGTTTGATACTGTTAATCATGTCCTTTTTGAAACAGGCTTCACACCACCTCTTCCTTTCCTCCTCCTACTCTCCTCTTGCTATTATACTTTTATTTATAGGATGTTTGGTTTTGCTTGGGTATGTGGGGGTGGAGACTTTAAAGAGAAACTATTTCTGGACATCTAATTGGAATTTCTGTTCTACTTTTTTTTTTTTTTTAAGATTTTATTTATTTGACAGACACAGCGAGAGAGGGAACACAAGCAGGGGGAGTGGGAGAGGGAGAAGCAGGCTTCCCGCTGAGCAGGGAGCCCGATGCGGGGCTTGATCCCAGGACCCCAGGATCATGACCTGAGCCGAAGGCAGATGCTCAACGATGAGCCACCCAGGCGCCCTGTTCTACTTTCTTAAAATTTTGTCAGGATAGCTTCTAAACTAAGGTAAGGCTAAGGCTTCTCAGCTTGCAGATCTCCGTTATCCTGCCTTTAATCAGCTTCCAGAGGAGAGGAGTTTCTTTATAGGCCATCAACTACAGCAAGCCTTGAGGCTAGGCTATTAACAGTCATGTCCCTGCTTCCTCACCAAATGGAGTGGAAGTATGAGTCCTCCTGTGGGCATTCCTTAATGGCGCTTGCTGTTTAAGGACACATTCTGCCTGAGCGTGGAACAGCCTCTGTCAGAGGTATTGGGAAGCAAGTCTTGTTTTAGGAGTCTGGGAACAATGGATAAAGTAAGTGAGCTCTGCTTTACTAGAGCACTCCCTGGAAGCCATTGTCATATGTCAGGTTGGGCTGATCATAGAAGCCCCGAAGGGTCTGGTTGGGCCCTTGTTAGGGGACCAAAAGTGTCAGTCCAGCCTCCAAGATCCTCTTCCAAACACCCCCATCACAAGGGATTGTTTGGAACAGCCCCAACTTCTCAGGTTGGCTCTTGCAATGGAACTTTGATTTTTTTTTTCCCCCTCTGAGAGCATTTCCCTGTGAGATTTTTCATGTTCTAAAGAGTTACTTGCCCTTAGATCCATTGCTGTGATAGTGCTGCTCACTTTTGAGAACTTTTGAGAGATCTTACTCCAAGTTTCTAGGTCCAGCCGTAGAACATCAGCTGCTCCCTCCAACTGTGGATGGACATAGATACTCCTTCCCTTGCCACTGAGATACAGGGTATAAATGGGAATCAACACCAGGGCATCTCACCCCTTGCCTCTAACAGTAATAGGTTGGTTATTTTCCCCCACATAATAAGCCGAACCTCAAACAAGGGATCCAATGATTTTAATAAATAGAGCAGCCTGGATTAGAGAGGGTGGAGAATGCAAAGAGCAATCCCAAATGAGGACTGAAAAAGTACATATTTTTCTGTCTTTTGCCTTTTTATTCCGTTTATGATTTTATCATACAACAGTTTTAACTTAATACTTATTTAAATTGAATTATTTATTTAAATTAAGTTTTATATAGTAAAGTATACACATCTTTTGTTTTTTGATTTCCGGGTTTCGTGCCTTGCTTAGGAAGACCTCTTTTAACTTTTGTACCTTAGTTACACAACTATTCCCTTAATTTTTCTTCTAATGCTTTTGTATTCCCTTTTCTTTAACCCATGTGGATTTTTTATTACATAATACAAGCCCAATTTTATTTCCTTCCAAATGGATGGCCAGTAATGCCAGCACCATTTATTAGTAAACCATACTTTCCTACTGACTAGAAAAGTCAAGTCTATTTCTGAACTGTTATGATCCAATCATTTATTTGCCTATTCCTATATCACAATAATTTTTTGTTTTCTTTTTTATTTTTTTTTTTAAGATTTTATTTATTTGACAGAGAGAGAGAGACAGCAAGAGGGGGAACACAAGTGGGGGGGTGGGAGAGGGAGAAGAAGGCGTCCCTGCCCAGCAGGGAGCCCGATGCCGGGCTCCATCCCAGGACCCTGGGATCATGACCGGAGCCGAAGGCAGACGCTTCACACCAACTGAGCCACCCAGGCGCCCCTCTTTTTAATTTTTTAAAAAATCATAGTTTTAGGGGCTCCTGGATGGCTCAGTTGGTGTGAAGCGTCTGCCTTCGGCTCCGGTCATGATCCCAGGGTCCTGGGATCAAGCGCCGCATCACGCTCCCTTCTCAGCAGGGAGCCTGCTTCTCCCTCTCCCTCTGCTGCTCCCCCTCTTGTGCTGTCAAAGAAATAAATAAAATCTTAAAAAAAAAAAACAAAGGGGCACCTGAGTGGCTCCGTCAGTGTCTGCCTTCAACTCAGGTCATGATCCTGAGTCCTGGGAGTGAGTCCCCCGTCGGGCTCCCTGCTGAGCAGGGAGCTTGCTTCTCCCTCTGCCCCTCCCCCTGCTTTCTCAAATAAATAAAATCTTAAAATAAAAAATCATAGTTTTGATTCAGCATGTTCAAAATAAGGGGTTTTTTTAAAGATTTTGAGAGAGAGAGTGCTCGAGTATGAGCCTTGGGGAGGGGCAGAGGGGGAGGGATAGGGAGAGAATCTCAGGCAGATGCTTTGCTGGGCATGGTGCCCACGGGGCCAATCTCATGACCCTGAGATCGGCCTGAGTTGAAACCAAGTCAGTCGCTTAACCAACTGAGCCACCCAGGTGCCCCATATTCAAAGTAAGTTTTAATATCCAGTAAGACAGGTTTCACCCTCCCATGTTTTATACACACACACAGAGTTTTAAAAATTATTCTTGCAGGGGGGCACCTAAATGTATTCTTAAGAATTTTTTATGTCATTAAAGCAGAAATGGTATATAATTTCCATTTCCATTTTTTTTAATGAGAATGTTTTTATTCATTTATTTATTTGAGATAGAGGGCGAGCACAAGCAGGGGGAGTGGCAGGCAGAGGGAGAGTGAGAAGCAGGCCCCCCACCAAGCAGGGAGCCCGATGTGGGGCTAGATCCCAGGACCCTGAGATCATGACCAGAGCTGAAGGCGGACGCTTAACTGACTGAGCCACCCAGGCGCCCCTCCATTTCCATTTTTAACTAGCTATTGCTAGTGGAGAAAATACGTTTCATTTTTCTACACATACTTATATCCAGCCAGCCCCTTAAATTCTATTACAAATTTGAGTATTTCTTTTCCTATATTCTCATCAGTTTTCAAAGTGTACAATTATATAATCCATAAGTAGATACTGCTTCTAAAATGTTTACCCCCTTTCGTTTTTTTCATCTTACTGCATTAGCTAACACCTCTAAAGCAATGCTGAATAGGGGCGCCTGGGTCGCTGAGTTGCTTAAGCATCTGACTTGATTTCAGCTCAGGTCATGCTCTCAGGGTCCTGGGATGGCGCCCCTTGTCAGGCTCCGCACTCAGCAGGCAGTCTGCTTCTCTACCTCTTCCCCTCCCCCAGCTCACTCTCTGTCTCTCAAGTAAATAAATCTTTTTTAAAAAGGGAAAAAAAGAAAGCAAGCTGAACAATAGTAGTGATAAAAAGTATGCTTGTTTTGTTCCTAACATGCTGAATACTTCCACATTCCACTATGTAGTATGAAATTTGCTGTTGCTTTTGATAGTCTTTATCATCTTTCTCTTCCAATTTCC